TGCTTCATTCAGAATGAGTGAAAAAAGTGCCGAGGATTTGTCTTTTTCTGCCCTCTTTACTTCCATTGCTCAAAAAGTCTTCTCTCCTTCTGCCTACAGATGTTCTCGTGCTCCTGCCACTCCAGTGAAACACCTTCTCAGGTGTGTGGGCTGGTCAGTCCCAGCACTGCTCTTGGGTCCCTCTCTCTAAGAAACAGATCATGTCCTACATATTATGTGTCTTTTCTTCCAAAGGTCTTCAAATGTGTCATGGGCCCATCTCCATTCCTTCGTGACCTTCCCAGCTGTGATTAGAGAGCATGCTGCCGCTTCTCCTTTTACCTCTCACCATAACTCTGATTTCCTTTTTATTCAAGGGTTCCCCAGCACCTAATACTCTCTCCTGGCTGACCACTGCTCCAAATCTACTGGCAATTCAGAAGGTTTTTGCTTCTTAGCTGCCTCAAAGAGCACTATCTTCTTCCTCCCAACTGAGGATGAAGAGTCTCAGTAGGAAAAGTTCTTGCTGCAAAGGAAAATGACAAAATACTAAGGTGAAGCATAAAGTATGCACTAAACATTCGTAACAAAGCGGTGCAATGTATAAAAACCATGCAGGTAAGGTAAGTGCTGCTTCTCTCCTAAAGGGGAAGCCAGGATGCAACAATACCTAGTGGGAATCAGAAGAGTCATTCCAGAGGCTGTTCTGGACTAGTTCCCCATTCCAAAAGCACATATGTAATTTAAACAAACAGAAAGAAGCTGGGTTTAATCTCCATGGGCTCTTGATTGATACCCATCTATCTTTTCCTCATCACTCTAGACAAACAAGAAACAAACGTTTATTAAGCTCTAGGTTTCAAAGTGCTTATCCTCAGTGTTCCCACTGAAATCTTGAGCAGATGAGCAAAACCACAGAAATGAAGGTCACGAGACAGGGGTTCTGCGTTTTCTGGTCCGTTTTCTGGGTTACACTGGGCAAAACACCGATCATCATTTGTACCTGCAACCCAGCAACAAGAAGCAGTTTGGGGAAGCTCGACTCCTGTCGGCGAAATACCTGGAGCTCGTATGGCAGCTGAGGGCTGCGAGGACATGGGGAGGGGAACGACACCTGGGACCAGAGAGGTGGTTGCCCTTTACAGCAAGGAAGGCCAGAGCTGGTCCTTCCTTTGGCACCCTGCGAGGACTCACCCAGGAGCACACACTGAGCAACAGGGAAGAACACTTTCTAATCACACCATACCAAACAACTCAAGAGGATTCAAATCGTGATCCTAGAAATAAGTTAAAACACTTGGGGTAGTTGACTTCTTAGCTGTTAGCTGAGTCCTTCTGTAGGCACTATTGACAAGCGAACTGATGAGTCCTCAGAAAATGTGTGATTTTGGCCCTTCTCCCCCCTTTGCCTTTTAAATAGAACAAAGCGAGCTTCCTAGGAAAATAAAAAGGAAAAAAAGAGGGTGCTTTAAAAAGGAACCAGCTTCCAGAAACACTTGGTGTTTTCCACAGACTTTATTGGATTTTACATGGCAATACACAGTAGTTATGTTGCCCTCTTCAAACACGCACAGATTAAAATACCCCAACGGTACCAACTGTGTGCACAGGCGCACATAAACTTCCTGACTTTATCACTTGCTTTCATACTCCACCCCCGTAAAATAACCAAGGTTCAGATGATGGGCAGCTTCGAGGGGATCACCTGGCTTCCAACCGGTGAATGCAGGGCAGGGTTGTTCAGAGCAGAGTGCTACTTACATTGGATTTCAATAAACCATCATCTGCCGTTGTTGATACGCTTGCTAATAGCACTGTACTGAAGAGAAATTGGAGAGTATTTGTGCCTATTTCAGCACAGAGTATTGTGTCACTAGTCCTCCCCTTTTTTTCCCCCCTGTGAAAATCCAAGTCATGTTCACTCACCGGCGTCTAGCGAGAGCGAATCTGGAGGACTACTTTTACTCAGAAGCCTGCACCACATCTTCCCAGTGCTTCTGCAGCATTTGGGAGAGCAGGGTCTTAAGCTCAACTTACATGTAGGTAATAACCATATTGAATAGCGTTCACAGAAAGCGAGCCCCAAATTCGCATCCCAAGCATCTGCACCCTAAAGCTGATGGCAGGCATTACACAATGTGGTATTTCTGCCCGAAGGAAATAGCTCAAACACCCCCAAGACTGCAGAGGAAGAAACAACAGAGAGCAAATTATTTGCGGCCGGGAATTAGCCAGGAATACTGAATAAAGCGTCAGTTGTGGTCTCTTTCTAGACAAACGGTAAGCAGCACAAACTATTTTATGTACACGTTATGGATTGTTTGCCTGGCTTCAGTTACCAAAGAGAAAACGGCAGCGCTTGATATTATGTGTAACATAACCGGTCCACATCAAATTTTTCATTTTGGTACATAAATAATAGCCTACACCGCACATCCTTCAAAGAAAAGCTGGAAATAGCTTGCCAGGTTCCAATAATATAATGCTAGAATGTACCTCCGGTCTACCCCAACATCTGATGGGATTGGGCTCCACGGAAGCCCCTGGAAGAACCTTTTTTCCTTTCCTAACTTTGTTAACAGCGTTTCAGAAACACCCACAAAGTCAGCACAAATCTAACATCCCTTGCACCACACCACACCAGCAATGTGTTGGAAATGGTGTCACTTCCAGCAAGGAGAGCGATGAAATGAGTGACAAACGCTTGGTAAAACAACACACCACCGCAAGGAACAATTCCAGCTGTACTTTTTTTTTTTTTTTGCCTTTACATAGCAAAGAAGCTTCATGCCATTGTGCTAAAATACATGCAACGTTCAACACCGTACGAATGACCACTGCGATAAACAGAGTTACTTTTTTGGGTTTGCTTTTGGCTTAGGACACCTCGCAATGCTGAAAGGCTGACAAAAGATTTCCACTGGCTAGTTAGGATTTTTAAAATCTGATGATCTTCAAAAGCAGAGGAGCTGTGCTTTGAGAAGGTAAAATGATGAGCAACGTGTTTGATATTTCAATTTTTGAGGAAAAGTCCTATCTCAGGTTTAATATTATGAAATAATATATTTCCTATACATTTCTCTATATAACTTTATTATTTTTTTTTTGCAACTACACCATCTTTACGTTAGTCACAGCACAGAAATATCCCTTCCATACGCAGGGAGTACTCTCAACTTTAAGGAAATTTCTTAAGTCACAGAATTGTTAATAACCTTGTTTGAATGCTATAATTACTGCTGCTGGGAACAAGAAAGAAGACATTTTAAAATGCGCAGTTTCCGTAAGAGTCACTGCTAGAAGAAACATGCTTTATAATTGTTTCATCCCAAATGGAAGATCATTAAACTGTGCACTTAGCAAAAAGCAACGAAAGCAAACAGTTCCAAAGGTCAGCCTGCCTTTTCCAGTAACCAGCTGGTATGCAAACTGGCATAATCTTTTTACAACCCTCTCCCCTTCCCCCACACCTCGAACTTTCCATCACTCTATCTCACAAAATTTAAATTTTTGCTTTTATATGTACTTCATATACTTCTTTTTTCCTTTTTTTTTTTTTTTTATAAAACAGTATAAAAATAAGAGGAACAGTTCAGAGCTACCCGGGAGCTTATGCAAGGCATGGCTGACTAAAATCCTGCATTGGATACCGTAGGAAGGTCAGAACTGGTATTTGTGCTCAACAAATGCACTTGAAAAAGGGCAGTAACTTCTTTTTTCAGCTGAGAGCCTAGAGAAAGCTGATGCACAATATCTACAGACACAATACGTCTACCTAACATCTTCTGTTATTTTGAAACAGTATAAAGGATTATCTGAGGCCGTGAATAAGCAAAAGGAGCACTATGATACCATGTAGATTTAAATGCAACACTCTGAAACATAACACCAGTTTGTACATTAAATATAGTAAAAACAATTACCATTCATGTGTGTCTGTGTGTTTCTTATGGCAACTTTAGAGTAGGCAAGTAGGCACCTTTTTTCTTTTTTTTCCTTTTTTTTTTTTTTTTTTTAAAATTCTCCACCTCCCAATATTACTTCTAACAAACAGAAGCAAGAGCAATGTAATGTACATGATCTGCTGCCCCTCACGTATAACGATGACATTTCTTGCACATAGGAAAGTGGGCCTTTGTCAGTGCCTGGTGGTTACTGTCACACGTTGGAGTCCTCATCTGTTATGCTGGTGCTAGGAGACCGAGTCGCAAAGTCTTTAAACATTTCGTCTTCTTTCAACATGTGCTAGAAAGGAGAGGAGGGAAGAGTCAAGGTTCAGGCCCTTACAACTTAAAATCAAGCACTTGGGACGGTCCGGTCTTGTGCCTGGCAGCAAATGGCGCTGTCAGCCACCGCTTCGTTCTGCTGAGGACGTTTTTCACCCACGCTGGTTCCTGACCAGCTCACAGCTCAGTCCCCTTTCTGCTGACCCAAACAGCTCAGGGAGCGCAGGCTGGGGCTGGGCTTCCACCAAGAAAACGCACCATGACCCTCAAGTTGGCAACCCACCACCCAAGGGCAACCCGCTGGCCTAAAACCGAGCGCCGTTGTCCTCTGCCCATGGTGACCATGGGCCACCACCCTCAGCCAGGGGAACCTCTGGGCCAGGATGGGCGGGTATCTTCCTCAACTGCTAATTTTTCTTTTCCCGTATGTCCTTGTACAAAAACCAAAGGACTTCAACTGACCGCTAGTTCTGATGAGGCTTCACTATGCGCATAATTTGCACAGTATTTTATATACGTTAGCCCTCAGAGACCAGTGGCGCTTCACTCTATCCAAAGACTAGGTCCCGCTATGCACTAAAATTGATCAAAGCAATTGCCCCCAAAACTCCAAAACTCAGCTGCTTGACAGAGCCAGTAATAGCAAAGAAAAGTTGTACTTAGTGTATTTGTATTAAATAGCATCGCTATTTAATACTAGCGACTACCGAGGGGTTCATACCCACCTTGCAGAAACAAAGATCTTATTTCACAGACCCCACGTTTAAGCCTTACCGTCAAGTTGTTGATGCCTTCAGAAAACGCTCCTATTTGCCTCACTGTCCCTTCCGAATCTTCCATCTACAGAAACCAGATAATGAATAATAAATCAGTAATACAATCAATTCATTGTATGCCACAACAGAGTGGCAATTAAGCGCAGCACATAATGTAACTGCTTGATTACACCCAACATGGTCAGAGCATGGGAGGAGCGTGCCACGTCGGGAGAGGACAGTTATGCCGGAGTAGGTCCTAAAGGCGCTGCATTCACAGCTTGAGCCTCCTTGGGACAAGAGAAGCTTTTGCTAGTAATGCTGCCTGACTGCAACAAGTCAGGACCTTCACGGGCCAAAGCAAAAGGAAGACTTCCCTGAGAAAATGAAGGTTTTCCATCAAACCTGGCAGCACAGTTAAGGACTCTGAACTGCTAGAACTGGCTTACCTGCTCCAGCCTGTCCAAATCATCATCATCATACACTCGGATATCCAGGCCAGGCTTAAAGCCCTTCTTCGACCCACTTCCAGATGCCCGTCCCAGCTCCATAGGACACACATACTCTTCCACATCATCTTGCTTTTTCTTCCTCAGGCTCCCAAAATTGCTGAAGGCAAGTTTCTTTGGCTTACAAGTGAAGAGAAAATTGACAAGAAGTTAGAGAATCAGCAAAGAATTAACAGATCTCTTACTCTCGCACTGGTGTTTCAATGATGAAGGGTCAAAACCCCAGTGCTCTCCTAAACAAGGATCTTCTGAATAGCTGTTTTTGACAATAATCACATCTGAAAGAACAAGATGTGTACCCTCATTCTACCATTGCTAAGACAACACCATGCAAAGGATCGCAAATGAGTTTTGAATCCCACTGCATTAAATCATGAGCATATAAACAATAAGAGACAGCCTCTCTCCCAAACATCTTATAGAACAGACAGAAGGACAACACACAAGAGTGCTACCTCTTGGCTGGGCATATGCGAGGCCGAGTTGTGGTGCGCTCATAGTAGACACAAGTGTCAAACCCAGATCTGCTGAGTCCTGCTCTCGTGCTTCTTTCATTAGCAGCCAGTCCCTTTTGTCAGACCTTACTGGACTGCCCTCCAGTCATGGATAAAACCAGCACACTGGAGATGTGAATGTCTGCCTGCAAGCTCACGCACCGACCCAGAACAAGTGACCTACCTTTACTTTGGCAGTTGCTGTTAAAAGGACATAGTCTGGGGACTCCATGGCTTCGCGTTTCTGCTGCTGGGCCTCCTGTCCAATGAGGAGGTTGAAATGAGTCGCCAAGTGCCGCCTCAGTAGCGTCTTGTTTGGTGGGATGTTCAGCAACTGTGCCATGGTTTCTACATTGAAACGAGGCTCCAAAACCTATTAATCAAATCAAATCTCAATACAGCTGAAGGCAGTATTGTCAAATAAGGTCTCAAGGAGATCAATAAGCACACCTATGTTGGCCACTTCCTAAGGTTGCTTTAGGTTGTTGTTTGGGGTTTGTTTTGTATTTTAGAGGAAACATACAACCGAAAGAGTTGACTAGTTAAAGGATTCATAAAATCCTGCCTCCAGGCTTTCCTTCTTGAGTTATAAATAAACAAATTGGCAGGTAAGAAGAAAGCAACAGATAAATCCACCCTTAACTCATGTAAGGTGTGAAGCTGCCACAAAACATATACCTATCATCCTCTAATTCTGGAAAACGTAGCCAGAGGAATGATGGAAGATACAGAGACATAAGATATCTGGAGCAAGGATATACTTCTTAATCACCGCAACAAAATTCTGCAAGTGTAAGTCTCTCGTCTGGAGTATCTGATGCTACAGCAATTAAATATGATCCTGGTTTGACATTGAAATCACGGATTTTAGAAAAGTAACAAGCCTTCCTCACAAAATAAAAACATATCTAAGTCTAGGAAGGAACATGGTGGCTGTTTAACAGCATGATAGCAGTGTACAGCATCATAGGACAGGAGGTGGACAATGCCCTACCTAAATTAAATTGTGACGGGAATACAGATAATCAAACTCATTGCTGCCCACACTAATTCTGCCCAAGACACTCATGTCCTTTAAACTATAGAGTAATAAATTTTGATAGCAACTTCTTATTAAGCAGAGTAAGAAGATAAGGTGTGTGCAGCAAAGAATGTCAGAACTTTGCTCTAACAATTCTCAGCCATATTTTTTTTTTTAATAAAATGGAACAAGACAGCCTAAACCCTTACCATCAGTCCACCATGCACACCGCTCCCCCGCAGGTTAGGTGCATACTCTGCCAGATCAACGGAGCGTAACCACTCCATCACACGATGATTGGTCCACTGGGTGACCTCAGAAGGTGTGACATTATTCTGTGGACAGGAAAAAGAGGCAGTTAAGGAGACTTCCCAACTCAGCTGTCTCAGCCCCAATCCTTATCAAAACAAACCTCTCCTGCTGCCCTGAATGAATGCAAGCCCACTTTGCACTCGAGAGAAAAAAACCTCTTTTTGGATTGCTATCTTGCAGCAATGCCAAGGTGGAGATGAGTCTGGGCAGTGGGCAGGTTTGTATTATGCTTCTTGTCGTTTGATTATCCTACTGTGCGCTAGGACTACTTGCAATTTCTACCAGTAGAACTGAAAATACAAGTATCTCCATGAGCTGCTGTGCTTTTCTTGCAGATATACATTGTGAATCTAAATCCAAGAGTCTGGGTTGCTTCATCATCATCCATTGCCCTATCCAGCATATGCTGATTCCAAAACAAACTGATGGCAGTCTCTTGTCTGGTAACAGAGCCAAACTCCTTTTACACAGAAAATTTTGACACAACCATCAATTTTCCAGGGAGTTACACAAGACTTACAGTAACAGTGCACTGAGCTCAAGATGATTTATGTTCCAGAAAGCACATCAGAGACTAAGCCAAAACAGCCAGCTGTTGGATATGAAGAGGAGCGGGAGATTTGGCAAAGAGACATGAGTCTGGGGCTGTGGCAGGTGGAGGAAAGGCGAGGGCAGAGCAGGAATAATCAGAAACACCAGGGAAAAACCTGAGAGGATCCCTTGTCACAGCATCATTTTAAAGCAGTACCTCATCAGACGGCCTCCTGCGCAGACAGTTGGGCTCAAAGTTATTTATTCTCAAAACCTGAATGGCTCTTTTGATGCTGAGGTGGTGGAGGACACTGACAACTTTCAAGGACAGCAAGTCATCCTGTTGAAGAGGAAGGGGGAGTTAATAAACGTGCAATAAACGTGGAACCAGCACTTGACTGGAGGAGACTTCTTTGGACCCTGGCTTAAAATGGCACATCTGACACGTTCTGGGGTAAGATTTTAATATGTGAGACACGTGGTTAATGTCAAACCATCTGACCCAAAAGAAAAGCTTCCCGTGTTGCTCGGCACTAGCTCCTGGGCAATGTTCTTCACACAGGGTACAGATCTTAGTACAAGAAATAAGGGGTAATGAGGAGGGGTGAGGGTGAGATGACACATCCTCAGCGATCTAGTTAGAACCAGGACAGCTTTCCAAACCCAGTGCATCAGACTCACCTGGCATTTGCATTTAATCCTGCCAAAAGTTTCAATACCACAAACGTCCAACTCAAAGTTTAACTGAAAACAATAAATTACCCTGAAAATGTATTCTGTATGATTAGAATTAGCATTCTGTATGACGAGAATGTAAAAACAGAGGGAAGAGAAACACAAAGGTGTGCCAGGTTCATCTCCCACAACTGCAAATGATAATTTTTTTTAAAATGCTTGTCATAAGTGATGGAACAGTGGAAAGGGTGACCATACTCAGGCTGCAGAGAGGCTCACCCAGCTCGCCATCACTGTGTGGCTCCCACCTTGTGCGGGCACCCACTACAGTTCGAGAGAAGGAGGGCAGGCTGGCCAGGAGGGCCAATTCCCCCTCACACGTTGCAAGGGAGCACGCTGGACACACGGGCAGCTTGAAGGCTGGCTCTGTGACAAGGCACCGCAAGGCAACCTGGCTGTGCCTTTACACCACACCATTTTCAGCACAGCATAAGCCACTTCTCACACATCGCAGGGCAAGAGCCTGAGAAGGCAAGGCCGCACTCCTCCCTGCAACGCATCGGTGATACTAACAAAAGCAGCTGGTTCTTTCTCCAAAAGCTCGATCCTCAGATTTTTTTTTTTTTTTTACTTAAACATTCATCTCACGGGTGACTTATTTTATAGCTTGCAGAGACTGGCTATTTAGCCTCCCACCAGTATCCGTGGAGTGTCAGGCATCTCTTAGGGCAATTTGTGCCATGCTAAGGAATGAGATGATGCCCCACAGTGCTCCTCTCTCTGCATTGACCACACGGCACAGATGACTGCCTTTGGCTGGACAGGCAGCTTTTAGATGTCAAGAGCTGGGAGAGATTAGTTCCTCCCTTTATGACCACAGTAACTAGCAGGAGTTTTGCTTTGGCTCCGTTAAAAGTTCCCTCTTCTCCTTCTTGTACTCAGGGGTCCTTCAACCCACCGAGAAGGGGACAGACAGAGCCTTCTGGTACCCCCAAGGGGGCTCAACTCACAAGACACGTGGTGGGCAACGGCGAAGTAGACAGAAGGTTGAGATGAGGCTCACGAGTTAAAAAAGGCTGCTGGTGCTACCCAACACCCTGACCTGCTGACCAGTTTGCAATCTATGCAATGCAGGTGTCATGTTGTGCCCACCTCTGGTTTCATTCCAGTGTCTAGCCCCAGGAATTTAACATTTCAAAACCAAACTAATCGGATTCTCCCTCATTCAGGGAGCCCAGGCGTGAAAATCTTGTAAGGAGGAGTATGCGACAGGCTAGAATTCCCAGCTCGCTCGCTGCTGCTGTTGCTCCAGAGGAGTGCTACAAAAGAAAAACCTCCCCCCTGGCACTGCAACTGTGGTCACACGCTGCGAGACTTGCACACTCCTGCTACAGTAGGCTCTTCAGTTGTAATTCAGTCCTAACTGTGCCATTAAGTGTCTCAAGTTCAGTTCTCTGCCAGTGCAAGTTGGCTGACTTAGATAAATTTATGCCTCTTTGTGCCAGGGTTAGCCTGGCTTAATAAGTTTTAGTGTTACTTATGTGTTATGAATACCGGACTCTTATTTTGTCAGAATATTTAAGACTAGATTCTTCGCTTACCCAAACATTTCATTGTGTTTGGCTAACCTTATGATGAATTTAAGAGTAGAGTTTCTGTGTTGCGGTTTGCTATTTTATTTATTATAAAATAATAAATATTTGCTATTATTTATTTTGAGTCAGGGTAACTTCACGAGATTTTTAAAAGTACTTTCATACTTTGCATACAGCTGTATTTAGTTGGTCATTTACACTGAATCCATTGTTATAATTTGATGGTTAAACTCTGTCCAAAAATGTCCCTAGTGATCTACAATTAAAGGGAAGTGACAGGAAGAGTATCTATTGAAAAACTCCTGCTACACATCCCTCTTCTGTCCACCTTTTGCTTTTCTTTCTTTTTTTAATACAAAAAAAAGACTGACTGTTGAAGAATACACATTCCCTTACATTACGGCCTATGCTCCGTCTTAGTCGCGTTCAATCCTCATCCAGTTAATACAGTGGTAGTAACATCTCCCAACTCAAGATCAAGCTTAATGGAGCCTACTGGCATCAGATCTCCAAGATTTAAGAAGCAGAAGAAAGAAACTGCCTCCTACTTTTATAGTAATGTCCAAACTCAAAAAAGCTAAAGGAAACAAACAAACAGAAGCAGGGAGTATTTAATGTTTGACCAAAATGGACTCGACAGCAAAGTCATGCCAGCAGACAGCGCTGTGCTTGTCTTTTTAGGATGGATCAACCCTAGGCTTCTTCCCGGTGCTGTTGTAAAGCCTATACAAAATACATGTTAACATGGCATAAAAAGGTACCTTTTATTCTGCCCATGGCGTAGCTCATGAGAGAACAGGAGTATGATTGATTTCTTCTTTGTTACACAGACGGAATTAATATTAGCGGTGCCCAGTTTACATTTGTGTCTCCAGAGAAGAACAAAGGTCTCATCTTACCTGAGACCTTATACATAGGAAACCTGCTGGGTTGGCTCCACCTGACCAGCAGTAAAGTGGGGAGCTGATGCTGGTGCTAAATACATTATGCAAAAGCTATTACATGTAGGCTGTTTCCAAACAAGTTGGCTCTTAAAACTGCAATTGTCTTCAAAGGAAATTGCTTGGGCTTTCTTAACCTAAGCATCCACATTAATAGGTAAGCGGACTGAACGCTCGCTCACTGAAGAAAAAAATTCCACCTACTTCTATTAATTAGCAAGAACCCGAACAGCAAAGGCCCAGCTGCACGAACTGCGACCACAGAATTTGCACACGTTTATATACTTACAAACACTGCCTGAGCACATCAGCATCACGCACAACTATTAAGCACAAGATTGCCCATTTCTCATGCATGACTCTGGGGTCTTGCTTACTATGTTTCATCTTCCACCTTAATATATTATCTTTAAAGCTGGAAAGAATATAAGAAATACTTGCAGTTGAGTAGTAGTATTGGGCCTTCTGCATTCTAGAGGTTACAGCTATTAGCATTAGCTTAACACAGGACACCCACTACAGTTTCAAGGGTCCTTTAAACACTGCAATGAAGCACACAGACAAATACCGCATTCTGGCTTATCCTTTTAGCGACAGTGATGCCTCTGACACTCTGACCTCCCTCAGCCTTCTCCCTTCAATTATCCAGAGAATTTCAAGATCGCATTTATGAACCACTCAACATCTTTGAAATTATTGTCAGAAAGTCCCATGAGACGCACAAGATGTTTAGCTGTTGAGGTCCGTATTTTTGGTACACTACATGCACATAGGCGTAGCCTCTGCGACGCCGCAAAAGCAACTCAGAGTAAGCTCTGACTTTAGCTTCCTTTCAGTAGATCCAGTCATCCGGAACAAAATTCACGTGTGCAGATGGCAACCACATGGTACTCTTGCATTCCTTTTTAAAACTTTCAACACAGGTCCAGAGTAATGCACAGGCGGTCTGCTGACCTCCACACAGGCACCAGCTTTCTGCTCTAGGAAGCTACAAGCGAGATCACTACGATCTGGCTCTTCAGCTCCTTATGGACACTGGATCCCTTAAGATGCCTGTAAGGGACCCAAGAATGGCTGGCTGTGACATGAGAGCTGCCCAAGCAGCCGTGGATCCCCTTCTGCACCCCATAAGTGGGCTATTTTTGGGGCCAGCCAGGATTTGGCCAGTGGCTGCTTGCACAGGAGGGCCGAGGGGAAGAAGGTTGGCAATGGTTGTTGGTGGCAGCTGCTCTTCTCCAGCCACAGTCGGCTGTCTCTCAGGGCCAGCGGCTGCCTGGATCCCCACCATCCCCCTTACAGCAGGGGCAGGAGGGTGTGTTTGGGGCTGGGGCTGTCGCCGAGGGAAGGCTTGGGGGAGGCTGAGAGGAGGTGAATGTGGGAAGGGGAGACGGCTGCTTGCAGAGGTGCATGGCAGGGCACAGATCCTGGTGCTGTGGGGTGCAAATAAAGGTTGCTGCCGCTGGCAAATTGACCCAAATGGAGCAGAAGGAAGATGGAGGCTGGGACGGCGATAAGTGAATATAGTATCTATGCAGTTGCATCAATAGGCACAGTGAAAGCAGGTCTCTCTAGTCTCACCTGGTCTGTAGTGAGCTATGTGGAGGTACACCAGCGTGCGTTAAAGTGGGGAGAAACTAAGAACACAAGCAAGATGTCAGGACAAGAAGCGCCATTTACTCACCACGCTCATGTAATGCAGCATTCGGCCGTCCACCTTTCCTTCATCAAACTGGGTCTTATACTGGGGGAGGCCAATGTCATCCAGCCACCCTAAAGCAGAGACAGACACTCATGTTAGTGTGGTAGCCAAGTTACCTAGCACCAGTTAAGTGTTATTCCCACTCGCTGAGCCCCGAATTAGGCATGATTAGGAATCCCTATCAAAAGTTGCTGCCTCAGCACGTAATAAAATCTTACTGGTAACCCAGTGGTAATCCAGTTTTCCATGATTGTTTTCCTCTTCAGACCCGAGTGCCTGCAGAGCAAGCTGAAGCTTCTTCCGATGCAATGGGTGCTTTATCCCGAGCTCCTGCAAAGGGAAGGAAAGCAGCAAAACTAAAGACAACACCGTGGTTTATTTCTCCTTCTACTGAATTAGAAATGGTTTCAGAGAGTCACACTGTACACAGCACTTGCTGGTGACTTGACAGGTCTATTTTCTATTTGCTGAATATCAGGCATCATTTTAGCACACATTCAGCACTAGGGAAAGGCCCACTCACCGTGGTAGAATAATTTTAAAGTGGAGTGGATTCCAAACTGTATGAAAATGTTGGCCACAATATTCTCATACCAGGTTAAAAAAACCCAACAACATAAAACATGTTAGCATTCAGAAAAATACTTGATGGGATTACTTCCCTCCCTCCCACTTAGGCAGGTAAGGTTAAAAGAATTATTTAGTTAAGAGCACATGAAGGTCCCAGGAATTACTGAAATTTATTAATACTTCCAAATACATAACACCTTCCCCAGTTCAGTTGCAAGTGCAGCCATTCCACGATCTCTTCAATCCAATATACACTTTCACCAGTGTATAGTAGGTATATGTATTTATGAGGTAGTTATTGTTACCTCTGATAACATTATTACAAGCCACATATCACACTTTTCTTATTCCAGTTGTAGTTTTAACTACAACTTTGAATTAGCTCATTCCCTCATTGAGAAAACAGGTTTACTACTTGGTGAGGATAGTGATTTTTAAAAGTGGAAAATTCAAATGTTAGCAAAAAGTTGTTTCAAATTATAGACCGAATCAACTTCTTGAATGTTTCTAGTTTTAGATAGCAAGAGGTAAACAATTCGGTAACATTTTAAGACAAATAAACGGATCACCCTTGTGTGTAACAAATCCTCATTCCTCTTTGTGTAAAATGTGCAGAAAATATAGTCAGACTAAACCAGCAGCTTTTTACACCTTTCTCACACAGGCATAAAATAACTGTACCATACACAAGTGCTAATGAATCTACAAACCCTTATGATAATGAGGCACTCTCATGTGCGTATTTTTCAAGTGGCATAGCCGATTGATACATCCATGCTTAATGAAGTTAAATCACCTATTTGTAATTATTAGCTTCATTACAAAGCATTACATTTCTATGAAACTTCTATTAAAAAGAAACAATTTGGCATCGCTGCAGATGACAAAATTTAAAAAAAATCATCTTTTTATTATTTTTTTTACTAGATGCACCTTACAGACACGATTTACATTCACAGAAACAGCAATTTTTTTGTATATTTAATTGAAAGCAGTTTCCATTACTTCTCACCTTTTCCAGATCCTGCTGAGAAGCCTGCAGAAGTGTTTGCCCAGACAGTATCCAGTGTTTGCCATTACTAATGTAAGAGCCTAGCCCTTGGTCCTGGAGCCAGTTGCAAACCTGCTCCTTCGTCCACTTTGCGAATGGCATGTCCAGCTCACTACAGAAGATTTTACCAAAAAAAAAAAGACGGATAAATCCCATGTCTCAAATCTCCTATTCTCATGCATACCAATAAAACCAAAACCTAAGCCTAATGAATGAGTATTTTGTGAGAGTTGGGACAATATCTGTGGGAGAAAGTGCATCACGGTTGGTTGCTAGGTGAGCCTCGTGAGGAAGAGGGTGTCTCTGCTTCTGAACCATTAGCAACACGAAGTGCTGATCGCTGCCCATCTCCTGCCACTATCACAAGAAACACGGTCTATGAATACCACTGCAAACAACTACCTGAGCTGCCTAGAGTGGCTAACACTCTGAAGTGAGACTGTATAGTTTCACTTTATCCTTTAAGCCCCAGAACCACAGTAGGAAACATACTGGAGGAGTATGTGTCGTCGTCATGAGGGCTCACACCTTGCTTCACGCAGCCTCACAGCTGCACTCCCATGAAGCCGCGAGCAAGGAAGGCTCCGCTCAGCAGCAGGACGCCACCACCCAACCAACCTCAACCCTGCAAAGACCGTCTCTCAAAGGAGGAAACAGCTTGGATCCGCCTCTTTCTGTTTGCCAGGAGAAAGGATGTTTCATTTTGGCACTGTGCTTCTCCTTTGCACCCCGATGCTCGACCGGAGCTGCCGGGAAGGCAAGCACCAGCACACCCCGCACCACTCGTCTTACTTGTGAGACTGCCCCAGGTCTCGAGACCAGCCCAGTCGTGGCCCCGCAGTTGCTCTTGTCCCTCCTCTCTTGAACTCCGTCTCGGACATGTCATCTGGGTTGAAGGTGGTAGACTGACTTCTTTTAAGTCTAGTTTAAAGGAAGAAAGAATATTCACATTTTGCTCAGGAAAGGCCACGCTGCTACTACCACAACCAATACAGGCAAGGTCTCCTACAGAGTTTGTAGCTGCTCTTTTACTTGCCACCAACCTACTGTTAGCTCTGTCCAATGCCACACTGGCTTCTGCTCTTGAGACAGTAAACCACGGAGCCACATGTTGAAGGGGGGAAAAAGGAAAGATGTGCTCCCAGCAAAGCCCTGCGCAAGCCCCAGCTCTGGAGAATGGTCATTTCTCATCTTTTACTTACTTTCCAAATAACTTCTTGATCCCTCTGGCCTTTTTCTTGGAATCCGGAGAAGGTGGCGTCATATGTAGACTATCCATTTCTTTCGGGCGAGGGGGCAAGCCAGCCAGATCCAGGTGATCTGCAGATCCCTTCTCTGTTTCAGCTATTAGAAAACAAAAGCCCCATCAAGACCCACTTGTGCAGGACTGTACAGACACAGTCCTGAACTTGGGAACGACTCTTGCTAAAATTATTGAGCGCCACCATGTTAAGAAAACGGGGCAAAGAGGGACGGGAAAATCCAGGAGAAAAAACACGTGTTCCTCCTTCATGGGCATGACTGGGAACACTCCAAGGCAGTGCTCTGCACCAGTTAAGTGCCTTGCATCCAAGGTGGGCAAAAACTACCTTGTGAATCAATCACTGAATAAAATCCCAAGTTTACTCTTGCTCAGGGAGTGCTCCTACAGTCCTTTCACAGACAAAGCCGAGGCATATGGATGCCCAGAAACAATTCAGTGCCATGGTGGGGAACCAAACCAGGAGTCCCCAAAGCACATAAAAAAATAATTTCCCTGCAGGCATCTTTCCTAATAACCTGCAGCATTCCTTAAGTTCCCCATCCATGAAATTCCAGCAACAAACACCTCCCGCCCCAGGGTCAGGAGGCCCTTTTCCCCTCACTTCTGCAAATTGTGGAATATTTTATTCCTCTGCAGAGAAACACCATGGAGTTTAGGCTCCGTCTGAACTACATCTTCTGAGTGATGCAAAAAGCATCTCTGATTAGAAACCCTACACATTACCACCCCCTCTAAAAGCATTAAATCTTTGATACGTAGCTGTTGCCTTCTATGACAACAAACATGAGGAGTCCTGTCCCCAAAAGTGAAGTTGTCACAAAAGCTAAACTAATAAAGAAGAAAACTATGTTAAGATCATTTAAAAAGAAAACTAAAAGAATAGCAGTATCTACTAGGCTACGTAAGCAGAGATGTGCCAGCAAGTGCCAGATAGCTGAATAAAACTACCATGTGGAGTTTATGCCACTTACTTGCTGGGGAACAGTGACAGCACGAGCCTGTTAAGATGAAGCAGCTGTGGCAACACAGCCTGCAGGAGGCTGACAGGCCTGTAACCACTTTTACCATCTTTCAACATGGCTGTGTAATTAGATGACCATCATTTGTTTTTGAAATGGACTCTCAAACTTCCAGGAAAAAACCAAACAAGTTACGTGAATCATGGTAGAGCATATATTGCTGGGACATGTGGTCTCAAGCCATAGAGTTAACGCTGCGGCAGCCACAACGTGCCACGAACAGCAACGAACTGCAGGCTTCGCCCGTGTTTCTTTCTGCTGGGCAAAGCTTAGATTATTCAGCCAGAAGATATTTGAACATGTCCCATTTTCCACCGATTCTTTAGATGATAAACCTTGCAGTGAAGCAAAAAGGTCACATAAAAGATTATTTCCGGGCACTTTGGTTTGACCGCTATAGAATACGGGGGTCTTGCCAGTGAGAGACAGCACTAACGTCAAACCAGGCTTTTGCATTTGTGTTTTTTTTGCTTTCGTTGTACAAGAAAAAGTGCTAGCTTAGAAAAAAACACATTTAAACAGCATTCTACAGAGAGAACACCAGGACAAGGTTGGGTGCATTAGTAGCAGAGATTTGCGGGTATTGCAATGTTTGCTCCCTTTCACACATGACATAACCCCATAGAACAGCCGACATTTAAGGGGCCACATGGGAAACTGAGAGGGCCCAGAGCACTTGGTTTCTTCGTCAGCGAGGGGCATACCGGGTGGCTGTACAACCACCCTGACTGACACAGCTCTGCTTGCTAGGGAAGGACTCTGCTGGTCGTACCTGCCCTTGCCAGAACCACCCAGGGAACGCCCACATCAAAAGACTGGTTTTTACTATGTGAATGGCTCCAGCCCCATCTGCCCCAATTACTTCTCATTCGTTTATTATATCATAAATATAACTACATCTAAGAAGAGGAATTAAGTATCCTTTCCCCTAGAATCCTCCTAAGTGAACGCCTGGGAAATACACCTCATTCCCTACTTCACCACCCTTTAAGCTCTTCCAGGGGCTCCAGGACAGACAACAGCACAAAGGTGCCTCTGGTATTCAAACTTCAGTGATTCTCACCTGCTACCTTGGTCTGTGGGTAACTTTGTGCTCAAAGTTATAGCAAAAGTCTCTGCAAATTAACCCGCAATCTCTCTCATTAGTAGCGGTTACTGAGAAATGGCGCAGCTGACTTTTAGCAGAGGGCAGATGTTACATGAAAACTCCTTTTAGTGATGGACAAAAGTTTCGATGCAGAGCTCTGGTGTCTAGTTCTTGTTTGAAAAGTGTGTGGCCATAACCAGCTGTTAGCAGCAGTCACAACACAGCGCTGGTACAGGCAGACATGCAGGATTACTATACCTAAAGTAGGTGCACTTGCACTTCGACTGCGATCTTCAGAGATCCAAACAACGCACATAACCACACGCAGCACAACGGGAGAGAACACGCAGAGGGACAAGGTAAAACACAGTTCAAAACTTACGTCAGCAAAATACAAGACAAAAGGAAGGGGATACATGAGACACATGCGCCACACGCAATGCTGAATTCACACAGAGATTAGGATTACCAATTCACTGTTAATCCCCCTGTCACAAAAAAGAAATGCAGTAGAGCTCTATGGTGGAGAGGGTAAAACAGCACCACAGGTACTTTGGTACAGGGAGGTCACTTGCTCCATGACACATTGGGCAGGTGACTCACGCAGGCTCCCGTGGGGTGGCAAGTATCTGGACACCAGCTTTACAGATGGATGCACTGAAATCCGGACAACATAAATAACTCACTCAAATTCACAGGACCCTGATCTAGATGGCCCATCTTCCAATCCTTTATGACAGCAACAAGTACTCCACTTTGTTAGACAAATTAATTCCAGGTGAGACAACTGATTACACAAAAGCACACATGAAATAAACCGAAGCAAAGAGTGTAACCCTCAGAATAGACTGTACATCTATTCCAAGTAAGCTAGCGAGTTCCCATGCTATATGTCACAGGCAAATATGGGCAGTGTATAACAAATGTGTAGGTATGTTATTTCTTTTGAACAAAAGTCTAAAATTGTCTTTGAGTAAGTACAGACAGGAGACTTCTACTCAACAAAGCAGAAGCATTCCCCCTTCAGGCTTCTGAAAGATAGACCTAAATTCCTAAACTTCACGCAGCAGAAAGCCAAAAACCTTAGTTGAATGGCAGCAGATCTGATGCACAGATGCTCACTTGATGCTTGAACTGGAACACTGGAAAGACTGCTACAGCAGAGCAGTGAATGCAAGTAGGATTTCAGTTGGTGGCAACAGCGACTTCTGCATTAAGCAGAACATTTTGTTTATTTCATTGTCATGTGCAAACGTCATCAAATGACAATACCAAAACAACCCCCTCCCCATTAGGGGTCCAAAAATCAACATGAGCTTGAATAACTTGTCAATCCTGTTCCTGTTGTCACCATCTCTTTGGCGAAGCTGCTTAAATACACACAGAATAAAGAGGAAGACTGAGTGCTGCTGCCTCATTTCTGTACATCTGAAAATCTTTTGAAAGATAAACTGAGGATGAAGCCAGGGGAAAAAACAAACCACAAATCCCATGTGTGAACTACTGCCAGACAGCTAGCATTTCAAAACAGCAGCAATCCACTACAAGGTCCCAGGGGAGATATCACAGCAAAGGTTGAAACGTATCAAAAACTTCATTACATCAGGGAGGATTTTTTTCGGTTGTTTTTTTTTGTTCTGTTTTTTTTTTTTTGGTTGCTGTTTGATATTTTCCAAACATTCTACTGAGAAAAGTGCCACCAAGTCACAGTGAGACTAAGGGTGGTCTTCCTGCTTCTTAAGACAGTTACAGTTGTTGTTGAGACCCTTCAAAATACACAGAATCTGCATGCAGGTGCACGATACCTACCCAGATTGGGGGCACTCGCGGTCCTCTTGTTATTTTTGATCTTGAAAAAGCCTCGTCCAAACGAAGATCTGGCTTTACGGGTACCAAAACTATCCTCATCGCCTGTGCCGCCATGAGAAGGAGACTTTGGAGGGAGGGTTGCGAAATTATTACCTTCCACAGGAGGTTTAACCTGCTCAAGTTAGGGAAATAAAGATTCAGTATCAGGGAATTGCAAAAGGCCTTTTGAAAGAGACTGCAAAGTGACTGCTGACAGATCAGCTGAACAGTCCCTCTCATTTGTTACTACAAGAAAACACAATGTAAAAGCTATAAAGGAAAACAAAACCAAGATCCTCATTTGAATATGGTCAGGACCCAAGTTTACTAGCACTACTTTCCAATAATAACATGTCTTCTTTAAGATGTTTCTCAGTTTCTGCAAGGCTGGCTTACAGGTATGGAAAAGGTAAATATACAGTCCTGGAAGGCTTTGAACTTTTCCAGCTTTCCACAGTTTCTGTCACCCCACTGGGAGCTGCAGGGGCAGTGGGAAGCAAAGGGAGAGAAAATACCCCCACCATGTAACGGTTCTCTGCCAAGTATCAGACAGCTCATTTTGTCTATCACTGCTCTGCAATTTCCAAATTAGTGGATTAATGGACTATGTCCACTGCCGAAGCTGAGAGGAAATGAAGTATCAAGCAAGGAGTATAAACACCAGGACAAACATCAGACACACCAGTTAAGCAATTTAAAACGGTAACCTTTCCAGTTGTTTCTCTGTCTCTTTAAAAGGAGGAAGCAAACCCATTCACAGTCCAAATATGATTCTTTGGCTTTTGCTAAACTGATACAGCATTCACCCTATGAGTGATATCTGAGGTATGTCGTCTCTGCTCAGGTCTTCCTATAGGTGATAATTGTTGCATGCAAACTATGGCCATATGGTACCGCAGGGGAACTGTTCTGCAATGACAGTCTTTTTAGGAACATGGTTGCTATTCACAGAAAACAATTCGGAAAGCCAAAGGTTTTTAAAGAGACACTAATAAAAGGTAATTACAGAGTCAGTAAAATACTTAATGGTTAGCTTCACTAATTATCTAGTGGCAGAATATGTGAGGGAAACATTAGCTTAGATGGCAACCTTATGCTCAACCAGACTGGAAGATAATCCATGTGTGAGAAGACAAGAACGTGTGAGACACTACAAGCCTGACACTGAAGTGATGGTGACAACCGTCATAGACTTCTCGCTATCTTGTCTGCAGGTCTGCTGTTCCCCCTCTGGAACTGCATGCCGTGATTTCACACAACTGAGCCTTTCAACACCCGCTCACTGTCTGTGTTTCTCCATGTACACACATGAGTGCGCACACACACGTTACCTCTGCTGGCTTCTGTGCAGAGTCTCTGTCCTGTTTGAGAAAGATTAAGAAAGACATTTAAAAAGTCAGGGTTTATAGCCTGTATTCAATTCATTATGGTTACCCTGAGTTAAATTCTGACTGAAATACCATTCCCTGCCTATTTTTTTTCCCCAAAAAATAAGTCTCTCCAGAGCTGTATTTCACACAGATTATTAATTCTTGCTTTCTTTGAGGTCAGTGAGCTGACATGAAAATACTCTTGCTTTTGTTTACTTTGTAAAGGATTAGCTGTGTATATAATTAGTAACATGCCATTTGTTAAGGCACTAATGAGCACAGCTGGCAGAAGGAGACCCAAAGCAGTAATCAGACAGAGTAGAAGCCAAGTAGATAAAACATCCACAGCCTTCACTCCTTGGCTGTCCAAACAAAAAAAACCCCCACCCCAACCCATGAACTCTAGCTCTCATCATCAAGTTCTTGTTACATTTTCAGTCCTGTCAACACCCCTCCTGAGCCGTAAGGCACATGCTCCGTGGCTTGGTTATCAGGGAGCTCAGCAGCTTTTAGGAGTTTAGGCTGTGAAAAAAGAGCACAGGAGTTGCCCTGATTTGATGACTTTGTTAGAGGCTAGCTGCTTTAGGTCACTTCAAAAGACACCTAAACTGAAGCTATCACCAGACATACAAAGGCTCCGTATTTTCTTCCTAACCACCTAAAACATATAGTCCCCCCAGACTGTACTTTATAATGCATTAATTACATGGCCTTCCAAAATTATTCGCCTTACACACAGGTAGGAAGTAGTAGTCAGACTTACATTCTTCTTGTCTTAAATCAGAAAAGCATATCAACCAAAAAAACCCAAACCTCATTATCTGAGGAAAAACACAGCAAGAGTCTCAGGTAAACGCCTCATGCCAAAAAAAACCCAAACCCAACCCCAAAAAGATGCCTGTGTTTTCAAGGACAAATTTTCTCCTTTAATGAAACCTGGAAGATGTCACATGTACGTGATCATTGCTAATACATGACATCAGGAGCCCTACTCTGACTCAGAATTTCTCAGAAGGTGGCAACAGAGCATCCATGGGGTCACTGCCACAACAGAGACATCATCCCTATTTCTGCGGGGATGGGAGGAAGTGAAAGACCAAACTAACCGCTTCGGATGTCTCTTTTCTCAAACTGCTCAGACTGCTGGACTTCTGCAGTGAAGAAGTTCTGAAACAACAACATAAAAACGAAGCCAAGTTACTGGAATTAAATTTGCTAAGATAAACACACTCTCAGGGATCAGCTTTAAAGAAAGCATTATAATACATGATGAGATATACTAAAACCAAAGACACTTTGAATTAAGGCAATCAAGGCACTTATCAGAGCCCACGCAATTTGATGAGATACTGTAAGAACATCCATATCGTAATTACTGCTGCTAATGTTTCAATGACATGATGCCTACCTTTGGGTATTTTGGGCTTCTTATTTAATGTTACATTTTCAGAAGCACAAGCTGAAGTTACACAGGCAAAGGAAGTGATATAAACAAAAGCTATGAGAAACGGTATTTTTAGCAACAGGCTTCTGACTAATTTAATCCTTAAAGAAGTCAGGCATATTAAGTCAAGCATGTGTGTTTTATCTTCAATTCCATTTTCCATTTTGGACCAGATATCCCCCAACTTCTGGTGGGATTCACAGACTAGAACACTTAAGTCTGGTTGAAAAAAAGTTACCATTAAAGTTTTTCCCACAACCAGGTATAAATTCAGAACAACTTCACTGAATTTTAAAGTTACCTATCTTTATACCAACATGAAGGGAGTAGAATTTGGCTTTCGGAATATTCTTGTGGCACTAAGTCACTCAAAATAAAAACAGCTGCTGAGCCTTACACTGTGTACCAGACAAACCCTGTTGACTTCGGCCCCTTACTAACAAACCTCTTTGACTCAACTTCGAGTTCATGAATAGTCCCACTGATTTCCCTAGGGAATATGGCTATCTGGCAGAAAGTAAAATTATTTTTCCATTGTAGTCAGCTGATCACCTTTCTCCCACTATCAAAAGAAAAAAGCAAATCACATGCGCATCTACTACTGAAAACTGTAAATTTCAAAGTGTATTGACAGTCTGCATCCCAATTAGAAATGCTTCCCAATGTAAAAGAAATTAACTGCACATGTGCACAGGTAAAGCATTGGAAATAAGGATCATGAAAACATTGGACACGAGCAGAAAACTATGACCACTAAATATCACCTTGGCTAGAATTAGTTGACATATTTACATGTGTATGTAAAATATGGGGAGTGCATTGGGGGGGTTTCAAGCTGACAATCACATATGTTTCCTAAACATTATTGGTTACGATACTTACACTGGACTATCACACAGCTGAGTTTCTGGGGAAGAACCTGTTGATTTTCCTTCACTGAAGAAAAAAAAAAAAAAGAAAAAAGTAAGGCATTTGGGGATCCAATCCAAATACCTTGCTGATACAGAAATCCTATCATCTCAGCCTGCTTTAATCCTGTTTTCTCTTCAGCTGCTCTGGTACCAACACGTGGCAAATTTTCCCCTCTATGGTGGCAAGTCTTGTAAAAGATAAAGGACAACGGTGACCTCCAGAGCCCCAAGAAAAACAACTTGCACTGTAAGTTGATGACAATACTGCACTATTCAGCTTAAATAAATGCAGAGGTTACAGCATGTGCAGGGTCTGCAGCAGCACCAAGTAGTGGAGGTCACTGGCTCCCTGCGAGTCACACACAGTGCGGGCATTTTGCTGCAGGTTAGTGCTCTGTTTTCTTCCAAGATGTGACACAGATGAAATCCCTGCTGGTGATGGCTAGAGCTGCATGAGGCACAGCACAGCAGAAACCAAGCAAAGATGGTCTTCTGGATAGAATGCTTTCCTTGACTAGAACTGGGAAAAAAAATCACACATCGACTTGTGCTTGCACTGATTTTTCACATCAAGATCGATGATGGTTTTAAGCCAACAAGATTTCCTTGCCTCTAGATTCGTAGAATCATAGAATGGTTTAGGTTGGAAAGGACCTTCAAGACCATCGAGTTCCAACCCCCCTGCCATAAACAGGGACACCTCCCACTAGACCAGATTGCCCAAGGCCACATCCAGCCTGGTCTTGAACAC